GTGTACCATTTTGTTTTGTACCTTATGGCTGAAGTAGAACTTTCCAGTGGGCACTGCACAAGAAAAGTAGAGATCGGATAGGATAAGACCGAATCTTTGTCTGCCGCAGCAGGGGCCCTGGTACCATGTCCCATTTTATTTTGTACCTTAGGGCTGAAGTAGAACTTTTCGGTGGGTATTGTACAAGACAAAGTAGAGATCTGGTAGGATAAGACTGGTTGGAATAATAGAGGGTCGTAGTAGCCAACAAGAGGTAGTCGCCACCTGACATTGTCCTCAACCGTCACCAATATCAGACTAGTAGGAAAAAGTCTATGTTTCAGTTTTGTTACTAAATAATGAAGGCAACTCAGGTTTTGAACTTTGGATCTAATGGAGAGTTTGATCCTGGCTCAGGATGAACGCTGGCGGCATGCAATACAAGATTTTCATGAGGCTGATCTTGAGCTGCCATCCAAGCACGAATTCCTTCATTAAGTAATATAGTACAAAAAGTTTCAGTACCACCTCTTCCCGACCCATCACATGGAAAACGAAAGCCTAAATTTGCTTTAAAGTTGTACAAAGCAGTTTCTGGTGATGACCGGGCCCCTCCTCTCTACTAGAATAGCTGGTCCACCTGTGCCCGACGTCTAGGGCAGTGACCCAAAGCACACTCACAGGTGGAGGCATTCTTTGTACCAGCCGAGCCATCGCTTAGAAAACTGTGGCGAGGGCCTTCATGCAAGGGACGTCGGCAACTTCTCCGTGATGAGCCGACGGACCTAAAACCCTGGATCATGGTGTTCCCCTCATTGCATTTATCCTCCTTGTTGATCCTTTCTTATGACCCATGATCTTCCCTTTTGAGTCTGGCTCCTTCCTGAAAAAGGTACTTTTTGAGTTCCAATAAGTTCATTAATGATATCAGTAACACGGTGTGAGAGCCAGGAAAGGGTCTCGAACAGGGATATCCCTGCCGGTGGCGTGGCACGAAGCACATCTCTTCCTTGTGATCCCCTCTATGGCCCCCCTCTTTCTTTCACTCGTCACCGCTATGGACACCAGACTAATAGAATTGACTGGGTTGCACATCATGACTGGAACACACGTCTTTATGATGCAGGGCGCTTGTTTAAGAAACGACTCCGCTACGTGGCACCCGCTGCCCGTGCGGAACAATTCGAGTTGCGATTACGAGGCATTGATCAGAGCCCCGTTCAACCAGGAATGGATGCTCTTTTGGCGCCTGGCGTTATCTATGCTATTATTCATATACCTTTTGGCCGCATATATGTCGGGCAAACTACCTATTCCGCTCACTATCGTCTACAACAACATTGGCTCGCCCGCTATTCCTCCCAAACTCCTCATTCACATCACCGCCATCTCTCTCACTCCATGGCCAGACAACCGCCTTTTCATTTTGCTGCCTGCTCTTTGGAATGTATAGACCCCCATCTTTGTCTAAATGCTGATGGCTCCATCAATCCTGAACAATTCAAGTGTGCAGCTACCCCTTGTGAAGGGTTTTGGATCCGGCGCGTTGCCACCCTGCACCCTCGGGGCGTCAACAGTGTCCTTCCACAAGGACGCTTACCGCCTGTCAGACGATCTCATCGCTCGAACAGGTGGATCTGATTGCGAGGTGGTCGAACTCCTCCTTCCATGACTCGCCCCACAACACAAACTCTTGAAGTTCATCATTGACACTAACCCAGGTCCATTCTATGTTGTGCGCTCGACCCTGCACTGCCTGTTGGCACAAGCAGCCAATTTGGAATGGCAATCTATATCTCGTACCCTTCCTCAAGCCACCCCTACCTGGCGCTCTCGCTTGCTGCAATGGCTGCAAACAAACGCCTCGAACTTCGATGTCACATCGAACATTCGCCAACTGGAATGCATGATCTGTGGTTTGCAATATTCATGCCAACTGTACTCTAGCCTTGCACAGACTTCATTCTTACAATTCATTAAGGTCGTGCACATGCATGAAATTGCTTGAACCACACGACTACGAGGCGTTCTTTGGTTACCAGAAGTCACTGAATCACATCCACAGGCTGCTCTGGCCACGGACATACGTATCTGCCACAAGATGGTACCACCCGTTCGTGTCTAGTTCTGTAATTTTACAGAAGTGGCAGTCAACATAACACCCAACATGCCTCCCCCGGACCCGATCGAGTGTCCCTATCAACAACAGCAGGCAGAAATTGCCACTGATGGGTTGTTGAAGCTTGATACTAAAAACTACAAGTCTGTCTGTGAGCTCACCTCAGCTGTAGAGCGATTGATTGTCGTCCCCGGGTTGAATACAATCCATAGGACTTGTTGACCATGTTCCTTAGATGTCTTCCCACAGACATAAGAAACTTGTTAGCCAGCGAGGCTCGGCTAGAGTATGACACCTTTGAGACCTTTAGCAAGAAGGCCTTAGATTTGGAGGTTACGCTAGGAGGTGCTCAGGCCCCCTCTACGGATGGAAAAAAAAGAAGAGTCCACAAGAATGGAAGAAGAAGGGTAGTTGATTGATGATGGTCGAGGCTGATGGTACTCAAACCGAGATCCAGGATTTCTCAGATCTTGTGGACGGTACAGAGATAGATGGCGAGGATGATGCTGAGGGTAGCAACCTCACTGTCGTAGTCAAAGGCAAGGCAGCTGGCTGCGACAAGGGTGGACAGGAGTCAAGGGAACACCCCGAACCCGCAAAAGATAGCGGCATGGGTTCGAGCAGGTTTGGATCCGGATGTGTGGCGGGCTCGTTACCAGCGGGGTGCTTGCATTAACTGGCCATCAACAGTTTAAGTGCAAGAACGCTAAGGTCTCGCAGAAGATACCACCTAAAGGTGGGATTACTTCTTCCCAGACTGGGGCCTCGTTGAGTTACGGCTCGGGAAACACCTAGGGCCAGTAGAAGTTATAGCTGCTTCTACTTTCGTTGAAGCGGGTGATGTACGCTCCCCTTTTCAAGAGTTGGCCAAAGCTATTGACTCCTTAGTAACCCCGCACACGCATCTGGACCCAACGATACTCTGCTCGTTGGATGTGTCTGGGGCCTTGGAGGACCTACAAAGTGAAAGGTCGGTAAGGGACCCTCGTGAGTTCTGGGTGGCATTAAGTAGAGGTCCTAGAGGGGAGCACTTCGTTGTGAAGTTGGTGTAGGGGACCGCAGATGCGAGGCATTTGTAGACATCGACTCCACACAAAACTTTATAACAAGCGACTGCGTTGAGAGATTGCGCCTAAAGGACTGGGTGCAGCGCCTGAGTAGACCGGTAGCATGTACTTTGGCCAACAAAGAGAGCATGTTGGTAGAGGACTATGTCAAGGACGTGGTCTGCACTTTCTCCTATCCAGGAGGGGAACTGATTCATAAGATTTCGTTCCTAGTTAGTGACGACCTACCATTTGACATGTTGTCAGGTATGTACTACCTCGAGGTTGCCAAGCCCCAGTTCGATTGGGACAAGAAAGTGTTGAAGCACGAATTACCGAATGGGAGGACTGTTAGACTAGCTAAGTATAAAGCTAGTAGGTTGATTGACTCCTATGGGTGTTTGTGCGCATCGGCCTTTTATAGTTATTATTATAAACAGAACCAAGAGGAGGGTATGTACTTGGTCTTAGTATCTGCAAAAGAGGAGACTGTTAAAACACCCCCAGAGATAGAGAGCGTCGTCGCTAAGTACCCTGATCTGTTCGAGGAGCCTATAGGTGTCGTAGACAGGGAGGTTGTCCATGCCATAGAGATCATCCCTAGGAGCAAGATACCCAAAGGGAGAATCTATACGATGGCTCCGGCCGAGTTGGACGAGCTCCGTCGGCAACTGAAAGAGCTCACGGAAAAGGAATGGACATGGCCTAGCATCTCCCCCTTCGGCTCACCATTCTTATTTGTACCGAAGAAGGGGGGTCACTAAGGATGTGCATTGATTATAGGGGCCTCAATGCCATCATAGTTAAGAACGCAGAGCCCCTACCATGCATCGATGACCTATTGGATAGGGTGCAGGGATGTAACTACTTACAAAGATAGACTTGAAATTCGGCTACCATGTGATTGTGATTAGACTGGAAGATCAACACAAAACCGCATTTCAGACCAAGTACGGTCTGTACGAGTTTGAGGTGATGCCTTTCGGCCTATGCAATGCGCCGGGTACATTCCAGCACCCCACGAATAGGATCTTTCATGACTACTTGGATAAGTTTAGCGTCGTGTACCTCGACGACATTCTTATCTTCAGTAGGACTATCGGGGAGTATGCCCAGCATGTAGACAAAGTTCTCTCTCTCCACCAACAACACAAGTATAAGATAAATTTAGAGAAATGTGAGTTCAGTCGCACTAAAATCTTGTACTTGTGTCATGAGGTATTCGGGGAAGGAATTAGGCCTGAAGATGCGAAGGTGGCTAGGATTAGAGACTGGCCACGACCCCAGTTTGTGACTGAGGTCAGATCTTTTTTGGGGATGTGTGGTTATTACCACAATTTTGTACAAAACTACAGTACGATCGTATCTCCCTTGACTGATCGAATGCGCCTTGACACACCATGGGAATGGACAAACACATGTGAGGCTGCTTTCAAGAGACTGAAGCATGCCCTCACACATCATGAGGCTCTCATGGTTCTCGATCCTCAAAGGTCATTCATAGTGACCACTGACGCAAGCCAGTACGACATAGGCGCAGCCTTGGCTCAGCAGGAAGAGAAAAAGTTATAGCCAATCGAGTACATGGGCAAGAAAATGCCATCTAAGAAATTGGCGAAGTCCACCTATGAAAGGGAACTCTACGCCCTCTACAAGGCACTTGTCCACTTGAGGCACTATCTGTTGGGACGGTTCTTCTATTTGAGGACCGACCATCAGACACTCAAGTGGATCAAGACACAATTTGTTCTCTCTGCTCCACTCAAACGCTGGATTGAAGTCATATACCAGTATGACTTCAAGCTAGACTACGTGAAAGGAGAGTATAATAAGGTTGCTGATGCATTGTCACGTAGGGAAGACTACTTGGGTGCGCTGATTACTAAGTTTGGCTTATCTGACGATGTCACTCGATTCATGGTGGAGGCCTACAAGGAAGACCCTGTCACGATGGACATGATTTGCAAACTCGAGTCCGACGACAAGGCCACATCTGATGAGTTTGTGATGGTGGATGGGTTGCTCTTTCTCGAGAAGGCAGGATTTAAAAGGTTAGTAGTTCTATTTAGGGATATTTTGCGTAGTTTATTTTTAGGTGAGTGCCATGACGCGACAGGTCATTTCGGCTACAAGAAGACTTATGCTAGCTTAGTACATCGCTTTTGGAGGCCTAACATGCTTGTCAATGCGAAGACATACGTACAGACTCGCCAAGTCTGTCAGCGGGACAAGCTGCAGACTCAAGCTCCGCTTGGGTTATTGAAGCCCCTACCCATTCCTGCTGGTCCGGGGCAGAGTATCTCCATGGATTTTATGGATACCCTCGTGACCAGCAAGAATGGCAAAAGGCATATCTTCGTCATAGTGGATAGGTTCACTAAGTACACTAGACTAATCGCCATGCCAGAGACTGCCAGGACTGAGCATGTCGTCAAATTGTTCATGGACAACTGGGTGCGTGACTTTGGACTGCCAAAGACCATTGTTAGTGATAGAGATGTCCAATTTACCAGTGAGATGTGGAAGAAGGCCGCTGAACAGATGGGCAGCCAGCTCCAGATGACTTCTGGGAATCATCCCGAAGCAAATGGGCAGGCTAAACAGATGAACCGTGTGGTGCAGCATCTGCTGAGGCACTACATCAAGCCCAGCCAGAATGACTGGGATAAGAAACTACCTCTCATCGCCAGCCTGTACAACAATGCTGTACACAGCACCACCGATGTCAGTCCTAATCAGCTGCATCTGGGATGGAAGCCTAGATCTGCCAGCCTGAAAACCGGACTGCCGCAACCCCTGGAACCATTGAATTTGGTGTCCAGTATGAGAAATTGTTGAATCAGACTGTCGAACACATCAAGAAATCTCAGGAAGCCATGATTGCTTCTGAGAACAAGCATTGCTGAGAGTCCACATTTCAGGTAGGGGAACATGTCTGGGTTAAGGCTAGTGAGTTGGGACAGGAATTCAGCATCTCTAGAAAACTAATGCCTCAGTATGTCGGTCCTTGGGAAGTCTTAGACATTGTGGGTAATAGTTTCGATTGTCCCTCGTATGTGATTCGTATCCCTGGTCACCTACGCTCTTACCCTGTGTTTCATGCCTCAAAGCTCGCACCTTTCGCTGAGACAGAACAATTCCCATCTCGGAGATCTATGCTGCCCCCAACCATGGATGGCCACATGGACGTCGACAATATCTTGGAGCGCAGAGACATGCCTGTTCCCAAGCCAGCTGGCAAGGGTAGACTGACTAAACCTGCAAGAGAATACAGAGTACGGTTCAGGCATCATACGGATCCTAAGGAAGATCGATGATTTACAAGGGAGGAACTTGTCAAGACAGCTCCTCAGATCGTGGCCGAGTATGAGAAGAAACTGAAGGGGAAGGCACCAGCATGAAGCGTCTCAGTGGACTTTCGAAGCTAAGGGGGATGGAATGTGAGGAACGAGCCCTCAGGGGGCCCTTATCAGACAAACAGATGTTCTGGGCAGAGGCCTCCAGCAAGCCGAGTGCCCGCCCTAAGTGAAGGCGGGCCTGAATATTCATCAGAGGCCAAAACTTGACATTTTCATATATGGGTACGCAGGCTGTTGCAGCCCGCCAGTTGGTTGAGTGGACGCATGAGCCTCCCTAAGCTCCGTCGTACAGTTGCCCCAGGCCTTGGCGGTTGCGCCTGCGCACATACAAAGCAGGGCCGATACATAATGAAGCAGGCCTATGCAAAAGTATTACTGTCTACTTACCTACCCGGGGGTCCTGTGCAAATGCAGCAAACGGCCCAAGTCTGGAGACTCAGGCCGTGCCCAACTGTAAAGGGCCCAGGCCCTCAACTGTAGTCTCGGGCCTGGGCGCAGGCACTGGGGCCCAACAGGAAGCTACTGGAAGCTTCCAGGCATGCCACACGCAGCAACGCAGGAGCTGCCACTTCCATATAGGAAGGAGAGCAGCCAGGGCCGGGGGATTCTGGCCCACACAGGCAATGCGGTCACACTGCTGCACTGCTGCGTTAGAGGGTGCGTGCTGCGCTGAGGCCAGAGCGCGTGCAGGCGCGTGTATGGTGAAGTGGGGCGCTGCTGGGGCAGCGGAGCGCAAGCAGCCATGACCGGGCTGCAGTGCGCTAGAGGGTGAGTGGGCGATCGGTGGTCTTCTGGAAGGAGGCAAGAGTGGGTGGACAGGGTCTGATGAGGGGAGATGAGATACGTACCTGGTACATCTAAGAGGTCGGCTATGGTGTTGATGTCATGTGCGTTAGTCTTCGAGAGTCGAAGTGAGCCTGTTGCGAGAATACTGATTTAGGTAGGATAGTAAAGTAGGGTAGGCTGGGCGCTGGGCGACAGACAGAAAGGAGCGACTTTGGATACTGTGTTGGTGTGCTCTGAGGGCTTGAACATTGGATCATTACTTCATGGTATTGCTCTTATTTGGATGGGATCTCGGTGCATTTGTGCTCTCTGCTTGTACACGACTACTCGGACATCTGTGTGATTTCGCAACTTGGTTTTCTGTATATCGTTTCCACTCATATTCCTTGCACTATACCCTCCCCCTATCCCCAAGTTTCTCAGCAGATTTGGGCTGTGCTCAGCAAGCGCAGTACAGCCCCCAACTCATATTTGGAAAGAAATCAACGGATGACTGTTTTCTGACTGGTGGGCCCTACTGGTCGGATGCAAAACGGTCGGCGGTCGGGGTTGGCAGGTATGCAACCCTGGTCAGAAGTCATCGCATGAATTAACAGTTGGAGAATGTGAGTCCTGTCAGTTACATTCCTGGTCTGTGCTTTCCTAACGAATATTCCCTGAACATGGCGGTTATCTTTCCTTTGTGTTGCTTGATGCCCCACTGCTGCAGTTCGCTCCAAATGAGGTAACGGAGCTAACATATTGGGTCTCCAATGCTTCGATTTCAATCTTATCTCCCTCTAATTCTACATCACCTCATGTTCAATATCACTGTTTTTACTGTACTTTCTATACCGCTGCGTATGGAACACACATACTTTTCACTTTTCACTGTGATTTCTGATTTAAATTTAACTACCAAACTCACGCGAGCAGAGCCGCGCTGGCCCATCTTGTTGTGTACTAGTGGTTTTCTGAACTTCTCAAATGGCTGAACTGGCATGTTTTCTCTCACCTTCCATGGCCTTTGTCCTGTCTGTCCAGCCATCTGTGTGATGTAGTCCTTGCACACGCCGACTGTCAGGTGATTGCAGTCTTCTTTCTGTTATTCTTGTAACTTATGTGGAACTGTTTCCTTAACACTGATTTTATTAGGGCATATTGGATTGGCTTTCCTTTATTCGAAGCAGGTACACCAAAGCGAGAACGGACGAATCTGATTGTGGGAATTGGTAGTGGTCTTCTAGTTGTCCTCCTTGGGGGTGTTCTCATCACTGTTATTCTATACCGTCAGAAGGAGCCAGCCAGAAAGCGCTCACATCATGTGGAACAAGTTCCCTTCAATGCCATGAGTGGAAGGTCTGGTACAACGAGAAGCAGTGGTCGCAGCCAGAGTCGAAGTCACAGTCATAGCGGGAGCCGGAGCCGGAGCCGGAGCCGGAGCCAGGAAAATGATTGGAGTCCACAGTTGGTGTCTGTTCCTTGGGGGTCACTTGGTGGAGGTAAGAGCCCCCGTATGTTGCCTATTTGTTGCCTGAATTGCTGCATACAGTGCATAGATCTTTCTGAAGCTTTTTCCACAATGTCTTTTCTCCTTTCTATCCTATTATCTTCCACTGTGTTTTCAGTTTCTTTACCACAATTGCCAAAACACACCCCAATTCACGAACCATGTCTAGCTGATCGTTTACTCTCGTGCTCTCTGGAATGAACAACAGGGCCACAATCTTACAGAAACAGTGCCATGTCTCCATTAGACTCTCAAAGCTCATAAAAGCAAAAGTGCAATCTTCCCCACATCTGTGAGGTTGAGCCAGAAGTGCCCACACGTCCATCCGATGAATGTGCACTGACACTCCAAAAGTTCACATGTATTGACTGGCACTGAGCCCCCACATTCATCCACTTAATGCACACTTGCACTCGAATGCAAAGATTTATTCGCAGGGGGAAAATGAATCCACAGCTTCCTAAAACTGCAGACTACTCATGCAACAGCAGGAGCAAGACTATCTGAAGCACACAGCACCTCTTCTTGGTGTGTCTTCCAACAATGGGTACACTCTGCGGGTATCTCACCCACAGTGTGAAAAGCTATACGGTCGACGAACATTCTATTCTATTTAGCAATGAGACGAAGTACAAGTGCTTTGTTGCATGGCTGGAAGTTGAGGTATGAAAAGCTGGAGGACTTTGTACCACCCAGTCAAGTGTAGTTGAATTAGGCAAACTGTCCAAGGCACTTGCACAGCACGCACTTCACAGGTTAAAGTGAGATAAACAAGCAAAAAAAAAACGAACATTCCTGCAACAGAAAGATAAGAGCTCTTTTCAATAAACGATAATGTAGATAAAACACTTTTCCTGGGAAAGCTTCTTGATCGGGTGGTCGACGTAACAATAATGACATTTGTCGATATGCCACTGATTGTTCCCCGTCGCAAAACACATATCAAACATGCCTGCGGAGCCGAACCTTCATGTGAGAGCTCACGTTTGAGATCGGGAGATGGAACTCAAACAGTGCAACTTAAACTCCGATCGATTATCACTAATTATACAAAGAATTGTTTGTACATCTGGCGGTATGCACCGCACGGACTCTCGACACCACTCAGGAAAGTACCCGCTGTCGGTGCGAATACCCTTACAAGGGTATCCGCCCTTGTTTCTGCAAGTATCAGGAAATGAATTTGGTTCAAGATATGGGTGTGCCTCGCTGGCCGCGGCCAATTTTCATGTTGTTATCAGCTGGAGGTTTTGAGAAGAAATAGCGAGTGTGTGGGCGCGCAGCTTGAAGGCGCGTGTGATTTTTCTTACTTGGTAATTGTAAAGGCGGCACAGTTGCTGAATTAAATGATCCTTCCTCCTTTGGTAAGTACGTTGGATGGTGGCGCATGCGTGCGCGGAGGCGGCATTAGTCGTGACCGGTGTTATGGCCGGCTATCGACGTCCGCTATGCAGTGGAGATGGCCAGGTACATCGGGATAGGGTGTTGCTTCATACTGTTTAATGTAATGATTGCCTCAATCCTCCCTTGATGACTATCGGGCAGTGGAATGCTGGCGATGTGTTAGCCGGGAGCAAGGGAAACGAGGAGACGTCAACAGACGAAGAAGAAGAGAATGGGGATGGCAAAGGCAGACATCAGAGAGACAAAAGCCTCAATCCTCCCTTGATGACTATCGGATCAGGCAGTGGAATGCTGGCAATGTGTTAGCCGGGAGCAAGGGAAACGAGGAGACGTCAACAGACGAAGAAGAAGAGAATGGGGATGGCAAAGGCAGACATCAGAGAGACAAAGATGACGATGAAGTAGAAGGAAAGAGATAGGAACGCGGAGGCAAGGAAGGCAGGAAAGAGGAGAATGAATACGGCACGGATTCGCGCCAGATACATCCAGGAAAGTCGATGGCGAAGATGGGTGTGAGTTGGGCGCAGCAGGGAAAATGTGATTTGCTCGTTTCTAAGTGAGTGTGACGGGGCGGAGGATTCATAACTCACCCTTTCCATAACGGATTTGGGCGATGTAGAGGTCAATTTCAAGGTTTTAGATGTCGGTGAGTATGATAGCGGTGTTAGTTTTGGTGTTAGTTTAGCAGAATAAGAGTTAGCAGAAAATAGTGCTGCGTGGAGATATCGAGAAGAGGATATTGTGATGACCCGTCCAAACATGGACTGAAACACACGACTGATTTCTGAGTTTTGCCCATAGACTGAATACCTTGCTGAGTTTCCCGCACGCTACTAAGTCTGTGTGTGCACGCTTGCTGGACTGCGTGTCTGTCTGAGTGCTGGTTGGCTTGAGTGTGTGTGTGGCCCGCAAGGGCACTTGCTCGTCCATTGGGCCCTCAGGGCCGGTACTTACCTGTGGCCGTRACATTGAGGGATTGCAGCAGGAAAAACACTCAAGTAGCGGGTAGGCCGGTACCGCAGAAGAAGACAAAAGTGGCAGATGTGCGGGTACTGGAGGCGGAGCAGAAGACAACAAAAGTTGCATTTTTAGAGGCCGAGTAGTTGTAGGTTAGGTCTAGGCGGATACCAGTCCAACCAGTCTGGTTCTAGGGCCTGTACGAGCAATATCAGAGTCTGCAATAATGTTTCCCTCCGAAAGGGAGGAGGTACCGGTTGCTTGGAAGGCTGAGCGGCCTGGAAGTCACCGCCCGAAGAGGCAAGCAGGCCGCTATATCTCCCAGCCAGGCGAAGAGCCCGGCCTCTTTCTCAGTGTGCAAGTTTGGCGACACACTGGTTGGAGCACCGGTTGCAGCAGCGCTATCCAAGAGCAGCGCTGCAGCGCTGCTGGGGGAAGCAGAAGGACACGGAGGAGGAAGAAGKACAGGAAGGGGGAGGAGCGCCAGGGGTACTTACCTAGCTATGGTGGCAGCCATCTTCATCACCTTGGTGGGCGCTGCAGCAGGGTGTCCCCAACTGGGAAGGGCTACACCAAGATGCCTTGCGGCAGGGTCGGGCATGGCGGCCTGAGCTAGAGAAGCCATAGCTGCTTTGGGTTGTCCTTTGGGCATCTGGGCAAGGCCTAGTAGTCCGCCATAGACCCGGCCTATGAGAGTGAAGATGGGAGAGCGGCCATGGCTATGGTGGACCTCAAGAGATACCTGCAGTAGAAGAGGAACTCAGACATTGCTTCTGGATCAGCTATTCAACATTGTATTACTATTTCTTGTATGAATAAGAGAAGGGGGAGATAAGGAGGAGGAGATTGTTGAGCAAAGAAGAAGAGCCTTGTATGCTGGTGTACATCATCTTCTTCTTCTTTCTTACTTCTTCTTCTTCTTCTAATCCTCTCTCTCCTCTCAAGTTCATTCATCTCTTTCTGCAATTGGGCGGCATTATACTATCCGATGGATGTGTATCTCGAAATTGGCGGATCATAACATTGGTGTCAGAGCGGATTCTACTTGCTGGCGAGAGTTGACTTTGCTGCCCTAACCCTAACCTAAGTGGTTGACGACAACACTTAGGGTTAGGGTTGGTTGGTTAAGGGAAGTGGGGCGGCGTGGCTAAGGGAAACTGCCCCCACCTGGTTAGGTCATGTGGGGTTGACATTGAACCTAACCAGGTCGCTTGAGAGTGAGATTAGGGTGGCAAGACATTTCGAGGAGACTTCATGCGGCAATTTGAGAGAGGCGACAGTGAGAGGCACTCGCACCTGGAATCTGATTCAAGGGAGACACTTGGCAACTTGAGGGCTGCCCTCAAGTAGGCGAGCTCGAGGGTCAGGGGCCACTCAGCATCGACGGACTACAAGTTGCTACTTTGGTCTTCAGCATTGGCGGGGGATCCGGCGTTGCACTTGGGTGTTGGAGTTAGACCCTCCTAGGAGATAGGACACTAGTGTAGGGGTAGCGTTAAAGAGGTCAGGCGGATCACATGAGAGGGGGGTGAGTTCTATTCATCTCGAAGCTCAAGGCCACTCAGGTAAGTTTTGTGCACCTACGGGATGCCCATGAATGTGTGCATGGTATGGTTTGTCCTGTTGGGGTTACTCTGGGTTTCTTTTCCTCCTCTGTGGTCTTGATTGTGTTATTGAATGTGTGTGATCTACCTACTCACCTGATGGATGGAAAACGAAGTATCTTGATCCGAATGCCGAGTCTTTCTACAGTGCTTTGTCTTTTCATCTCTGAACAGTTGTAGTTTGTAGGTTCTGCCGGAAGTTGAAATTTCGTTTTTCAGTGCGGTAGAAATTGAACCGAGTCCATGTGGGACTCCTCTTGGTTGGGACCTGGTCGCGGCCTACGTGGGACCTCTGGAACCCAGTGGGACGGGGCCCAAACAAGAAGAGCCCTTTGGACCCAAATCAGTTTGGCATTAGTCCATTGTCTTCCTGACTGAGATCCGAAGTTTTATTCTTGTTGGTTAGGACACCCACTACCGAGGGGATCTCGGCTGAGACGTTTCACATGCTTTTGGTTGCACCATCCGTGGCTTGACTCGCACCTTGTACACCATTGAATTCTCCATTGTTGCATTTAGTCACTCGTTGTCTGATTTGTTGCACGGTCATGGAGTTGGTCAGACTGGACTCGAGAGGACCTTGTATGCAGTCTGATCAGAGTGGGTCGCTGGATCAGACCTCTCATGTAAATTTGTTTGTTGTTCTTTGGTTTGTTGCTCTCTAAGTCCAAATGAAATGCCGCTCCGGCTAGGAGTTCTACCTTCTCTTCTCTGAGCTTTTCAGTCTGTTTCTCTGAGTTCATTTCCGATGCCTGTGGAGACTCGCAACCAGAAAGAAGAGAGAGAGAGGAGGGAGAGAGAAAAGGAAGAGAGGGAAAGTGACCGTCTGGGGTGAGCAAGGATTGGGAAGCGGAGTGTTCGACCACGCGAAAAGGGGAGTGTACCTCTTGAGAGTCTGATTGATTCTTTTGCTGATTGGCGTCTCTCCGATCCACCTGCCAACGACATTGGTCCGAAAATGGCCCAGCCACGGCTAACCTCAGTCCAGTGGAAGGCCCTGTTAGATGCAGCCAGTGATGCGGAAAAA